CCCCAAAACCCCAAAACCCCAAAACCCCGTAGAAGAAATAGATGATTGAAATTGAGTTATGAGTGTAGATTTGATTGTTTTGGTAGATTAGAAGAAAGTGTTGTAAATGTAGCTTATGTGGTACTTTTCTTTGAAGGAAGAGGGGATTATTACTGGGTTGGAGGTGAAGGGGGAGGAGTATTTGCAGCATGATAGTTTGATTTTAATGCTTTTAGTCTTGATGGCATTTGCTAAGTATTTGAAATCTTTTTCTGTAAGAATGAAATTGTTCAGATCTAGAGTTCTTGGGGGATTTTTCATTAATTCTTCAAAGCATGACTGAAAATCTGAGAAATTCAAAATTGAGAGACTTTTGTTTTTATTTAGTGAGAGTAAGTCATATGATCCTTTATTCATACAATTCCTGATAAAATCCTCAAAAAGCTCTTTTTGACTGCTGTCAATACCCAAATAGAAATCACTTATCTCCAAAAATTTATACTTTCTTTCAATATGCTCTTTCATAAATTCAACCTTATCACTCTTAGTTATATTCATACTCAAAGTACAATTAGGCTTCTCTTCTGTCTCCCCATCACTCTCCTGAACCTCATCTTCTCTCCTCTTTTCAGTAGAACCTCCATCTCCCACTTTTTCACTAACCCCTCCACTATCTGAAGTCTTCTCTAAATCCCTTCCCTCTCCATTCCACTCTTCCTTCTCCTTACTCCCATCTCCTCCCTCTCCCTTCCTCCTCCCCACCTTCTTCTCTACATCCCTCTTATCCTCCTCATCCTTCTGTTCACTATTAGGTGAGGGAGATTTGGAGACGAGAGAGGGGTTATGAGGTTGGTTTGTGTTGAGTGGAGTTATTGAGAAAGGGTTGTGATTGAGGAAGGGATTCTGAGAGTTCTCATTTCTTCTCTCTGAGTTTGTGTGTTTAGATTTATCACATTCAAAAGGGGTTTTATTAGTGAAGATATTTCATTTTGAGTTTGATGAAAAGGCTGGCATTTGATTTGATTCTTGATGCTTCTTATTAGTCAAGCCTTGAGTGATATTCTTATCTTTTGTAGCTTCTCCAATAAAATTTCTCTCAGACAGACTAAAATTTGAGCAATCTTTTAATTTCTGCTTTACGATTAGCTGTTGATAAGAATCACTCATCACTTCAATTATCACTGAATTTTGATTAATATCAGCTCTTAAGTTGGCTAGCTCAGTTTCACAATCTTCAAAGTCTAAAAAGTTCTTCCCATCAATTGCTTTCTTGACTTTCTGTTCAAGCTCAAAAAACCTGGTTTCAACTTCTGTAATGGCTTCTTTAAAGTTAGGCCATCTCCCTTCAATATAGAACTGCTCAAAGTGTCCCTGAGTAACTCCAATCAATCTCTCCAAACTCTGGACTTGGTACTCCAATTGCTGAGAACTCCTTATCTGTTCAACTTTGCACTGATAATGCTGATCTGCCTTACACTTTCCTCACACAGGCATTTCATGATTCTGACAATACTCTGTACTAATCTCTTGTCAAAACTTTGTCTTGCAGGTAACTCACATCTTACTAAAAATAATTATGTAAATTCTACTCAAATTTAGCAATAAGGGGTTTTGGGGTTTTGGGGTTTTGGGG